GCATTCTCCAGAATGTTTGTCCAGTGGAGTATGGCGTTTAGTACTGCTTTCATTTCCAGCATGTTGATGTGCAGATCTTTCTCCTCTCTTTGGTCCATGTCCCACCTGACACTTCGTCGTCGAGATGTGCTCCCCAGCCTTGGAGCGATGCGTCCACGTAGAGATGCGTCTTGCACTCCGGTTCTGTTAAATAGGTGCCTCCGCAAACATTCGATCTCTGGGTCCACCATAGTGGATATGGGCATAGTGCGTCCGGGAGTCCGAAGTGTTCCGGGTCGTCCAGATGAGCATTGATGAAGAGCTGTAGTGGGCGTAGTTGTAGTCGGTCCTCTGGTACCACTATGCGGTTCTGTGTTGTGACGAACCGGATTCCTAGGAACTGCAGGTCCTGTGTAGGTTCTAGGTCCGACTTGAGGAGATTCACTAGCCACCCCAGTTGTGTAAGCAGTCTGTAGTCTGAGATGCTTGGGATTTTGATGTACTTGAATCCCATCGTCTAGGTAGAATGCACTGCGTAGACCTCGATGATGTAGGTATGTGACTATGGGCTTCGTCACCCTTGTAAACAAACAGGGGGCCGATGATATTCCAAATGGCAGGACCTTCCATTGGTAGTGTCGTCCGTCCAGTATAAACCTCAGGTACTTCCTTGAGTCCGGATGTACAGGAATATGCAGGTAGGCGTCCTGTAGATCTATGCTGGCCATGTAGTCCATCGGATGGACGAGGTGTAGGAGTTCGGTAGATGTATCATGCTGAACTTTGGTGGTCTGCGCAGATCATCTCTGTTGAAGGCCCTCATGTTGTAGATGAGTCGGAACTTTTCTTTGGAGTTTTTCTTTGGCACTAGAAAACTGGGGAGTAGAATCCTGGTGAGAACTGGTCCTGGTCCACCACTTCCATGGCTTCCTTCTCTAGTAGATATGTGACCGCTTCTCGTAGCCTCTCTGTCCGATGGGTCGTAAAGTTGAACTTCTGAGGTTCGTCTGTCAACGGCGGAGTTGCTTGTAGTTGTATGCGATATCCGTCTCTTAGGATGCTGGATACAAATGGATCTTGAAGAATTCACCAGTTCTCCCAGCAGTTTTGTAAACGTCCACCCACTTGTGAAGGTTGTACAGGAACGGCTGATGGTGGAAGACTCCAGTCGTTCCGAACCCCTCCTTCATCGTCTCTGATCCTTGGCGCCTCTGGGTGCCCTGCCTCGTCCGGGTCGTCCTCTATAGTTACCGGCTGGGCGACGAAAAGAGTCCTTCCCTCCTCTGAAGGTGCTCATTTTCTTGTCTCTTGCCTTCTGGATGCCTGCGAACTTCGATTTGCCCGAGTAGCGCTGGGACGACTGCCTGATGACACTGGCTAGTGTATCGATGGACTTTATCATGAGGACTTCTCTGGAGTCTTTGGTAACTTCTTTGGTGACGTCGTCAATCTCCCCTGCGAAGATGGATGATGTCGACCATGGGGCTCTGTACAGCGACTTTGTGAAGCGTTCGCTCTAGTTGCAGGATGCCAGTAGTCCTTCGTCTCGCCAACGTCAACGCTGCTGAGATGGATGATAGATGGTCCATCATAAACTGCTGGTCTTTCTTCTGCATGAGTAGAGCAGAGTAGATCTTTCGGTCCTCCTCTGCGGTCGAGTCCTTGAACTTGGCGATGAGCGTCTCATTCACTGCCCTGGATCTGTTCAGGCTGAAGAACATCCTTCTGGACATCTTCTCTATCTGCGCCAGCTTTTTGTCGTCAATCTTATAAGACTTGGTCTGGGCGTCGTTGATGACCTTGTAGTTATAATTGATCTCTTGTGCCTTCATGAAGGGGTCCATATTGTGTAGAGAGAACTTCTTAGCGTTGAACTGTGGAATATTCGGCGCCTGGGATTTTGTTGCTTTCATGAAGGCTGCGTCCAAGTTCTCTGGAACTTCCGAGATGGGATCAATTGGCGGTAGAGTGATCGTGGTCGACATCATCGCCCTTCATCAGGTAATGCGAGTGCTGCATTCTCTTCTTTAGAGGGTGACGCTAACTCCAGTCCGTTGGCCATCCAATATCTTATCTCTGCGTCCGAGAAGATAATACCTCCATCATCCTCTGTTTAAGGGGTGCTGATCTGGGATGGTTGATCATCCTCCGCTGGGGATCTGTGTGGAGACCTGCGCTGACACCTGCGCGCGCGCGGCGATCGCGCGGGAGATGAGCCTGTAGAGCTGCGCTTGTAGGGCTTATCTGCGCGGAGGCGAGGCGAGCGCCTCTTGGTTCATGAATGCCTCGGCGAATCCCTTGACAATTTGTGAGATGTTGATGACGTCCTTGAGACGGTCTCTGAAGACCTTCGCGAAGGCTGTTCATCTGGGTTGTCAATGGAAGGCCTCTCCGATGTGTCGATGTGTCGTTGGCGGTGGGTCCTTTGTGCAGGTCTGGGTCCTCTCTGTGGGTGGTGTCCAGGGCTGGTTGTCGATCTCTTTCCTGCGCCTCTCCATCATCTCCATTATCTGCTGCGGGAACTGCTGCATGAAGGCCCCAGGGTTGAATGTCTGCGGTGATAGATGAGCTGCCCTCTGTGCGTTGGTAGCGATATGGTCCAGGGATCGCTCATCTGCCGTCAGCGTAGATACCTCGGACTGCGTAGATAACTGCGCTGATGTTACCGTTGCTGAGGCCTGCTTCTTCTTGGGGCGATGTATCTCCGGGATGATGAGCGGCGGCTCATCATAGAGACCTCTTTCCTCCACCTCTTTCCTCCACCATCTTTTCCTCAGCCGAGAAAGTCCTAGTCATCTGCGCAGACGTCCCCGTAGAGCTGCTCGCCGTCTTAGGGTTGTGTGGCCGTCTCGGCGTGGAGGATGGCTTCTTCTTGGATGTCCGAAGTGGCAGCCCTCTTCTTCAAAGTGGCGGACAACGTCCCACGCCCATCCTCCGAGGATATCTCCGGCGGATCACTGGAAGGAAGAGGGTCGTCTGACAGCAGTTGACACGGGAGGGACTCAGCCGGCTTATCCATGACTTGAAAAAGTCGCCTGGATTTGTCTTTGGCACGCCTAAGTACACAGAAAATATATTTATTAAATTCAATATTGGTTAAATGCTGACAAAGGTTGCAGCGAGAGCTGGAAGTACATGGTGTTGTGCAGCTAGGGCACAATAAATGCGGGTCTGCAGCAGAGAACCTAAACCTACAACGAAAACAGGTTTTCATGAAATGTAAACAACTGAACAAACAGACAAAACCGTGAATAAACAGTGAAAAATACGAATAAATTTCAAACCATATTGTTGAAGGATACTCCCTAAACCCCTATAAAGGTAATGTATAGGGTAATAACTAATTATAAAAGGATATAGTGCCGTATAGAAGACACAGACGCTCTCCCAACCGTCCACTAGGGCGAAGGAGAGAGTGAAGCATGTGGGAGCGGTGGCGCCACTTTTCCCGCCAAAACGGCCAGACAGATAACTCATGGTTAGTAGGGATTTTACGTCTGTTTTTATTGAAGGGAGCTTCAATAGAAGATACAAGTGTTCCACAAACGTTCGCAAGAGGAAGGAGACAAGCAATAAGCATGAGTCAGGATAAGGAAAAATAATCAATATGGCCTCCTCCAGACATTTTGAACAGAGTAGGTCTTCATTGCCCATGCTTAACAATGTGCAATCTGTATTAATGGTAGATCCCTGCCTGATAGATACTTGCTGTATTCAAGGTCACCATGATATATCTATAATAGGTGTAATGGTGACAGCACCATTTTGAACCTTGGATTTGGTCCTAGTTTGTTTCAGTACCTGAACCACAATATTTTCCCAATAACCTAGCCCTCCCTGCAATCCTACTGACTGACTGACTGAGTTTGGTTTTACGCCGCTTTTAGCAATATTCAAGCAACATCACGGCGGGGGACACCAGAAATGGGCTTCACACAATGTACCCATGTGGGGATTCGAACCGGGATCTTCGGCATGGCGAGCCAACACTTTAACCACTAGGCTACCCCACCGCCCCCCCTGCAATCCTAAAGCCCTAAATGAAGCAAGTCTAGATTTTAGGTTCTTAGATGATTTTGTTGATGTTCCAAATAGATCTTGCACCTGTAGCCTTCAAGTAACATTGTAGGTTGCAAGTTTCCAAACTGTAAGATAATACTGTTTAGACAATAGGGGGAGGGGGGCGGCTTGACTGGGCCACATGAGGTGATGACTGCTGCACTCTGGTCAGACTCCAAGATGGGACAGGGCCTAAAACGAGTGCCAATAAATATGCCTGTCACTTAAACGGTTATCTGATGGTTGTATGATGTGGTTTCTAATTAATAATAACCGAGCATGTGTAGCCCCAATGCAGATGTTATTAGTCTCTGAATCTTCCATCTCACTGGGGCTCCTTTTCAATTTAAATGGGTTTACATGGTATATTTAATATATACTCAGAGACTAAGCGTTTGTCTAATTCGGTCTCAACTTTGAATTTATTGAAGAATATTGTACCTGTACATTGAAGTTGGCAAGGTCTTGTACCATTTCTAGCAAAAAGTACATTGCAATATAAAAAAATTCTTAAACCTATTATGTATTCACGTTTTAGTCGAATTGTACTTCAGCGATGAATAAGACCTCTTGACCTTACTCGACATGAGTAAATACAAGGCGTCTCTGCCTCACGTTCCTGGTTACATTAAAAAGTCTTTTAGTCAGATTAACAAATGTAAAACATGTTGTCCGAGCTGTGAATAAAAATGCTTGAAGAAAGAGTGGCACATCAAGCGGACAACCCAAACAGTGCTGACTGCTGTGTGCCAAATAAGGTACATAATTTGCCAAAAATGTCAATGACCATTGCCCATCAAAATTGTACATTTGTCGTTGTACATTTGTCGTTGTACATATGTTGTGTTCTTAATTTCTTGTGTCTACAATCATATTGCCATGTAAGGATAATTCTGTTACTTGATGTGTCTGGATGTTCACGCCTTGTCATCTAGAATGTCGGATCTCTCAAAGTTAAAACACACTGTACATGGTTTTATTCAACATACACTCAAGTAATATACACATATTGTACATAGTTTCTGTGTCACGCAGCCAACTTAAAATATGGAGTTGATCTGTTCGCACTATAATGTGAGTCTGTATGCCCCGTTTGTTCCTGGGTCCCGGTCTCTGGTCACCAGTTTCAATAGGAACAATTGTCATTATTTCAAGAATGTAGATTGTCCAAGGGGGAAACTACCACTGTTTCTACTACCACACAAATCATCACGAATCTCCCTTGGGCTTCTGAAGCTTCTCTATATCGCCCAGTGTTTTGTTTGTCTGGCCAGACTGTGAATCATCAAATGTGAATATGTCCTCCTGACTGAAGGAGTCATCCGATGCCTTGCCCTGCTCCTCCGTCTCCTCTTCTACTGTGTGAGGGTCATGGACAGCCAGGTTCTTGTACACGGCCATTGCCTGAAACATAAGTGTCCAGGTATTAGACATGTAAGAAACGGCAAAGATCATTTCAACATAGGACCAGCATTACACAGAAAGAGTTACTTCCCTTGAATATCATTGTCGCTGTAAGTTGAGATGTTTAAAAGCAGACATGTGAATAAAATGTTGTTGAGATTTTATACCATGCTGCATGTAACTGTGTTAAGCTAGTAGTGTTCTCCATCTTACCTGTGCTACAACATTGCTGACATCCCCACTGTTAGAAGGCAGGATCAGTGTGTTGCCCCGCTTGGCCAGGTTACTGAAGGCGGCCACATACTGCTCGGCTATGTTGTAGGATACTGCATTAATACCTTGCTGCAAGAAGAACACAGAACGTCAGTTATCAGCATTTTGGATTGACAAAACTGCCCATTACAGTTTAGAGTTCCATAAGTAAGTTTCATACATTTTGAAAGTTCAATGCAGCTTCTGTAAATTCCCCACTGATTTCACTCGATGCCATGACAAGACATATTTCACTGTTCCACATCACGGTAGTTAACCCTTAAACATTCCACCTACCTTCTGAGAGAGAGCACCTGCCACAATCTTGACTGAGCGGGCTTTAGCACCAGCCTTGGCTATTAGGGCTTCAGCCTCACCTGTGAGTAGACAGATATTGTCAGTCACCTGGACACCTACACATGTTACCTGTCAGTCACACAGACACCTCTACACTTAATGACACTCACCTATCCACCTGTACATGTTACTGACCACCTCTACCTGGTGTGTTAATTGCCAGTACACACTACATGTTGACTGTCAGTCACCTGTACAACTCTACATGTTGAATGCTGATTACCCATACACCACTACTTGTAGAACCTTTACATGTTGAATGTCAGTCCCATGTAACCACCACTTGCTGAATGTTACCTGTTAATGTGTTATTGTCTTACCTGTAGCCTGGTTGATCTGCTCAGTCTTGTTAGCTTCAGAGTTGAGGATCCGAGACTGCTTCTTGCCCTCAGCCACATTGATCTCTGCTTCCCGAATACCTGCAATATACATCTCATGTCAGAAACCACACCATGACAAACAACATCACATACAGGACCTAGGGAAGCATGAACATCGATCTATGCAACAGAGATACAATGACGTGTGCTCCCAATCGTGCTAGTCGCCTCTGAAGACAATCATGGGTTGCTGAAGACCATTTCTAACCCGGATCTTCACGGGTTTCACATACAGAGCCTGGGAAACACATGTTAACAAGATCCAGAAAAGGACCTGGGGAACACATCAGGATCATGACAGGACCTGGGAAAAGAAACCAACTAACCCTACCTTCAGATTCCAATATGGCTGCCCTTTTCTTTCTCTCAGCTTCAACCTGCATTTGCATAGCTTCCTGAACTCGGGATGGTAGCTTGATGTCTCCTGCACAAAACACACAACCATGATGACAATAAAGGTAGAGGCGATACATATGAAAATACTAAACAAGCAATCAAACATGCAAAATGTTCCTGTCATCACATCAGTGATGCATAATGTTCCTGTCATCACATCAGTGAGGCATAATGTTCCTGTCATCACATCAGTGATGCATAATGTTCCTGCCATCACTTCAGTGATGCATAATGTTCCTGTCATCACATCAGTGATGCATAATGTTCCTGTCATCACATCAGTGATGCATAATGTTCCTGTCATCATATCAGTGATGCATAATGTTCCGGTCATCACATCAGTGATGCAAAATGTTCCTGTCATCATATCAGTGATGCATAATGACAATGATTTTCGTTTTACAGAATAAGAACTGAAGCATTTATAGTTCAAATCATGATTATCTGTCCATTACTATTATCAAAATTGTGGAAGAGCAAATACCATAATTTTTTTCTACCATAATGTGGAGATAACACGGACAACTGTAGAGTACAACTACTGACTTACTGATTTCATACCGCATACATGTGATGCCCCAAGCCTCGGATGCCTTGTTAAGTGCATCTACAATAACAACGCATCATGAATAAGAAAAACTGCACATCACCAATTCAACACAGCATAGCATTGATCTGATTAACCCAAATGTTAACCTGGTTAAGACACAAAGTTCCCTATCCAATTTTCTGAAACATGTCTAACCAATTTTCAAACGTTAAAATCAGGACACGGCCATGTTTGTTGGAAAGCATCCTACATTCCCCGGTGCCTCATGTCCATCTGCTTCAAGGTGTTGTGGGTGATGATGAATGTGCAACTGAAATGGTATGACAACCAATATGGCCAATGATACTAATATGTTGACTAAAAGTTAAAAGTAGCCGTTTCTAAAGTATAGTCTGTGAACATGTTCAAGATCATTTGTAGATCAAACAGACATTGTAGAGGTGACAACTCTACAGCTGAATCATGAATGTTGTGATGTGCTGTAAGAGTGAAAACTTCTTTTTGCATCTTTTGGAAAAAAAAAATGATCGTGCTGAATTTAACATTTTCAAAATAAAGTGTCTTAGGTGTGTTTTAAGGAGACTGCTTCAAACGTTTACTCAAATCTCACTTGAGTATACTGTCTTTTACAAGAAGCACTGTAACAACCCAAAGCTATGACTCAGTTGTATTCCTGGATGTCTGCAGGAAAACCTATATCACTCTGATGAAAATGAAAAGAAATTTACAGTCCTGATTGACGTACCAACAATGAGCACATTGAGTGATTCTCTCTCCCTAAACACTGTGTCCAGAGCAATCTTGCCTATCTCGGATCTCATGGTGGTCTGTGCTAGCTGCGTAATGGCATACTCAGGGTCTTCTACTCCATAGCTGGCCTGGAAGTGACACAGTAACCACATGCATTACATCACTGCCAGACATAACACACTGACTCATCAGTTCTACCACAACAGGGCAGCTCCATGTGGCATAAAGGGAATGATTGATAGTCTTTATAGACACACGTAAAAATGATAAACTTAGGTGCTGACAAAACAAAAATGATGAGGAAGAATCTGGAATTTGTTCCAAGAACTTACGTTCAGCAGGTCTTGACTCAAAAATGCCACGAACACATCTCATCTATTAATACATGATATATGACCTGTTTGTAAGAGGTCTCTTAGACACATGGCCAACAGATCTGTGTCAAAGACCACTTTAGAAATCAACAGTTATTTCCCTTGTTCTTTATAAATCCACTTTGAATGTTTTATCAGTGTCATGAATACACAATGGTGTCAAGTGACTCAGTCTTAAGATAAACATCATAAATGGGACATTGTTATTACTGATATTCCATTTCATATTTGCCTAATTCTTGACTTAAGGAATGGTTATCAAAGGACTTACCTTATATGGATCTGTGACTCTCAGATACAAGACAGCATCCATTGTAAGTGTAACATTGTCTGAAATGATGAAGGATACTATTGATGCCAACAAACAATGGTAAACAGGGTAAAACACCACAGATGCTTCCTACCCAAAATTAAACAAGTATGCCAGCAACCACTTACCGGTACAGTCAATACTTGCAGTAAAATTTAAGAAAATGCACAAAGGCCAAATCAACATGGCAACCAACACCTTCATAACATGAAGATGCAAACAAATCATTACGCTGAATCATATACTTTTCATCATTTTTCCTTGTATCACCAACTTTACTTAACCATGTGTGTAGTGTGATGTACATTGTGACTGACATACACCGCCATCACAAAGCCATTACCTAGTGTTATGGCAGCTTGATGAGGAACATCAATAGCTATTTCCTTCAGGCTCTGCACATACTTTATTGAATCCACAACAGGTAAAATGAAGTTTAAACCCTGAAACAAGAAAAGTTGCAAAATATAGTTAGGTCTATGTATGCATCACTTGTGTTGTTTAATGTCTGGTATAAAAATTCACAAATGATATTCACAGCTAACACAAAATACACAGATATTTGCCTATTTGTCTGCTTTTTTAATTACTTGACTTGCACATGTTAAACCCACAACAGTACTGAGTGAGTAAGTTTAGTTCTAATTTTAAGCTGCTTTTAGCAATATTTCAGCAATATCATGTCAGAGGACACCAGAAATGGGCTTCACACACTGCACAATAAAATATGATTTTCAAGATTTCTGCAACATTGTCAGTTTGGTAAAGTTTGGAGAAAACATAGATATTTTTAAAAAAGATAACAGTAATCCAATGTCCTGCATTTCCTAGTGAATCGTGCATGACATGATGATACATCCATTTCTGTGCTGACAATGCCAATATATATAGACAAAAAATACTTGCGTTATCAAATTCATGAGCTTCGAGGATAACATTATGTTACTGGAACATCAATGCCCACGTTGTTCATGATCTCAGCGTGATTAATCATGCTAAGGTAACAATTTTCAAAATAGATTAAATGGTCTACCGGTTGTAGGTTTCGTTGATATTTCCCAAATCTTTCAATAATCCATGCTTCTTGTTGTGGTACAAACAACACAACTGTATTCCATGGCAGACTAGACCGGAAACGTGCTTGTTGACGAGTGTGGCGTATAACTTGCTGAAACCAACAATATACAACATGAACAAGAGCAAAAGTAGGTGAGTGAGTGTCTGTCTTTTTGCAGGAATAAAAAATAACCTTGACATTCCCCCCAAAACATCTCGGGGGGAAGATGAGATATATGGACTGAGGATAGAGCTGATGGTTGCCTACCCTAAGATAGCTAGTCCTAGGTGAAGGGACCTCAGGGATTTAGTAAAGCCGAGCAAGAAGGGATGACAGAGTGGATGATGAAAATATGAAGTTAACTGAGAGCAGACGATTGACACAACATGCCATAATAAGCACATGTGACCGTCTGTCCGATGACCTAAAATAGATGAAAAGCAAATAGCAGCGACGTTCTAACGCAAGACCAGCTCTCAGATACTAAACGGCCCCTACTAAACTCACAAACGACCTTCACATTGACCATCTATCAGGGTACGACGACACACAAACTCAGTCAGGATGGTGAGGCAACTGGTTCACACACAAGGCAGCTCGGATTATAAATACTATTAAAAATCGAGGTTTGGCAGGGATGTATATATTTTATGAGTGAATATACAACATGCACCAGGAAACGTGAACTGAGGCCAAGAAATATTTTTTCGAGGAACACGTCTTACAAAAACATGAGAAAACACAATATATCTTTTTGTATATAGGAATCATAATGTACCTGTAGCAATCTCGATGTTCTGGGACTTGCAACACTTCGAATCATTGTTGCGAACTTCGTTTACACTGCTCCCTTGTGTTCTGAGCCGGTGAAAGCAACGTGATAATATTACTTCCGGTAAGAGAGACAAGGCCCGAGGTCAATGTCCCTGGAAATCTATTGGTCATATTATAAACAAGGCCTTATTTTATTGGATAAGAGATTTGACACAAAATATGATGCAAATATTTACTCGAATTGCATGCGAAGTGTCATAAGAAATAATATTCATCCTATGTATAATTTCATCCAGTACAGGGTCAATACATACTGATATTGTTTTTTATATAAATGAATGGTGATCCTCGTGGTTGCGCTTCAAATCAGAGAGCCTTAATTGTACTCTATGCTAAATGATCTGACATGCTCAACTTAAACTCTGAAAATTCTTAGTTTCATGTCCAGATTTAAGATGTTCCTTACATGATTTTATGATCGAGAAGGACAGATATTATACTATTCCAAGAGAAAACAGATTGTGTACATAGTATACATTAATTGTAATTGAAGATGAGTTCCACTCTTTGCTGGCATGACCTTACTACACTGATTTAAGGACAAAATATCTACTGCAGTGTTACCATACATATCCTACTACATGTACGTGTAAATGTAAGTTGTTAATGAACTCTAATAATACAACTCATATTCGCAAACCTGGTATGTTATGTGCCACATTTCTATAGCGCCCTGTTTGAACTACATCTAGATCACTCAAAGGCGTTTCACAAGTTATTTTTCCCTCGATCATTGGATGTCAATCTCAAACGGCATGTATCCACCATGCTTTTGTGCATAGAAAACAACGTCTGCAAACATTGTGGTTGTATGCCATTATTGCAAGCTGACTTTGAACTATAGGCCTGAGGTCTCTTCAGTAGTGGAAAGAAAGAGATTTGAACAATGGCCGGTAGACAGACTTTACATAACGAATATAAAAGGGTCAAATGGTTTGTTTATCACCAAGAAAACAACTTAGAAGCAAAAGGGAAAATCATAATAAAACAATATTACGGTTTCATTAAACATGTTTAAGCTATATACATTCTACGTGGAGTTAGCTATATGTACACTAGAGTTGTGCGTGCGTGTGTATGTGTGTTAACTAGACTGACATTTGGTCAATAAAATCACATGATTTCAAAATATATGTCTAAAAATACATCAAATCCAAGAGGAGCCCAGAACAATGCCTTATTTCAGGCAGTCTAGACTTGTCCAGACTGGATAGACTTCACTCACTTGACAAGTGACGTTTTAGCGGTAATTGACAAAATAAAATCGATTTTTGTAGGCTATTAAATTATTTTAGATTTATTGATAAATTACAACATAAACAACATGAATCTGCTACATCAGTAGTTCACAACGTGATATTAAAATTAAAAAAACTGCACTCAGCAATATCCCAGCCTCTTGGCGGCGGTCTTTGCCACTCATATTCAGTGATCAACAGCATGCGCATCGATACAAAGACATATGTAAAAAAAAGGATAGACTAACAACTAGTCTCTGAAATGAACATATTTTACTGAAAAAAGTTCATAGTAAAAAAAATATATATATAATGAAAAGGAGCCCTGAGACTTTCTTCATTTTCAGAAGCTGAGGAAATCTAGACTTGCCACATTTTCTAGACTTGTGTGGGCTTTCTTGGATATATTTGCTTCAGGGTCTGTACGAGAGACTAAAAAAAGGACAGCCAGCCTGAGCACCCGATCACGTCAGTCGCCTCTTTACCATCACGATCACGTCCATCACGCTTTACAAGGATACATTTCTTTGTGAATTCTTTTAAATTTCCAATTGATATTCTATTTCAAGACATTTTACCTAAACTATTCGTGACATTTTGTTAATATAATAATAATTAGAGCATTTAAAGGATGCGTTATTGTCAAATAGGAATATTTATTGGTATCTAAATTTTACGAGTTATTAATATCATAAATTCAATTATACAGCATAAAATGAATTTCAGGAAGCACTAAATCCCATTTGTTCTATCCAAAAATACTTCATTTTCACAAGTATCACAAGTTCGTATTTAATATCATGAACATATTTTAGATGTCACAGTAAAAATACTTTCATATAGAAATGTATTGATTGAGATAAAAAAAAAAGAACACGAGTTTGTGATATCAAGAATATATAAAATCGATAAGTATTTTGCTATTAACATTTAATCGAATACATGGTATGAGTAATTCATATATTCGTTCCTGTTGGAGTTATTTCCCCCGAGTAACCCTATTTTACTTTATATCGCAAAATTGCCCGTCGCCTCCTAATGGGTTGCACTTGGATTATTTCCCTTTGTTCACCAAGCACATTGTTTACATGGGATACCAAGAACAGCCCCGCGCAGTATACAGAATCACGTTTTGATTGGACAGTGATATGTAACACCCTCTGTGATTGGACAAAAAACGCACATCGCGTTTGCTGTGCATTTCTCGATATAAACATAGGACTCTCGGTTCTGTTACCGCAACAAGATCGTTCAGGATGCCTTTGATTGTTAAAGATTTCAGCTGGGATGAAAATGAATCAACTCTTTTCTTAACTGTCCCACTGAAGGGAGTGAAAGCTAACAAAGTAGACATATTTTCATCAGAAGAATATATCAAAGTGAGTATCGACGGAGGCTGCACCTTCTTTGCAGTACCTGGCTGTCCAAGTGTCCGACGTATAAGAAGTCAAAACATTCTGCACACTTCTAAGAAGGGATAGATTAGCGGCTAATATCTCCTCGAGTTTATTTGTGCCTAATATCTGTACTTACATGGGATGCTCTCGTGTATTTCTGATGTTCATCAAGGGATTTTGTCCTTGTCATAAATTCCGATAACTATCATTTTTACATTTTATAGGTTATCCAATAGAGTACCACTCTTGGTAAGAAGTAAGCTAAACCCGACAGACACGAAACCCCAATAGTTCTCTCTAAAGCGCCTGGATGCCATGGTGTTCCAGTTATTTTTCTTAGTAAAATACACCGCAAAGGTGCACATTGTCCAGTAATTATCCAAAGCAGCGTACTTAGGTTAATTGTGTTTATTGTTGTATATATATTTTGAGAAAGACAACAATAGAAATCTGACTTACTAAAGTCCTATAACTCTCCTAGATGTAATAGGCAAAGTATTTCATAAAATAACATGTGATAAATAAATAAGATGGTGTCATGTAGCTAGAGCAGTGTATTAAATTATTGATGAACAGACTTCAGAAAAGTCTGAGTGACTCAAAATAACTTTCATTGTACATTATTTTTAATAAGATATGTAAAGTTCATTCAATCAAAGAGATCATAAATCTCACAGAACAGTGTACAACACCATGTTTTTACTCTATAGGATCCTCATACTTCCTAAAAGGACCTGAAATTTTAGGTTCCTTAATCCCCAGTTTTTTAGGCCAAGGTAAAACCTCAGTTTATAAAAGTGTCTTCGTATAAATGGAAGTTAACAATCAATATTGATAGGTTTATTGTTTATAGAAATGGAAGCCATTTCAGGAAATATAAAGCGCTAAACACCATTCACCAGGTAAATGCTCATAGCGCTAACAATCAAAACACAGCACATTATTACCCCAGTTAACCATAGCTGCCCGTGAGGCGCGCTAGAAGGTTAATAGTCACATGACTTATCCCACCAGGTACCCATTTTCTGCAGGGTGAACAGAGGCAATTTTGAACAAAGTCACTTGCCTCATTAAAGATGAGACCACATATATCACATGTGCTTCGTTGTGGGGCAGGACAGAAGTCCTAAAAACTCTCAGGAGTCAAGCTGCCAAACACTGTCACCTATCCAAGGACTCCTGTGTCCAATGTTGCTTATCTTCAACTGATTTGTGACTTGAGCTCTATGCACAGGACCACACACCACTACACACCAAATATTACAAAGTTAAGATTTGAGATTCTCTAGTCAAGATTGTCCCTAGTATAAATAGAATTATAGAAATGTAGATACCCGTACGGTTTTACCTTATAAGATCTTATAAGATTCTTATAAGAAGATGAATTCTTATAAGATTCTTATAAGAAATAATTGGGAATAAGAAACTTATAAGAAATTATAATGGTGTTTCTTATACGAATCTTATATTTTTCTTAGTGACAAAAATTTCTTATAAGAACTTTTCATCTTTTTCTTATTTTGTATGAGAAACTTATAAGAATATTTTGTATGGGTAACAATGATCTTGCCCAGGCTCTTTCTGTCCAACTCAGAAGATGTCAGCTCAGCAGTCATTTGAGGTAGTGGGAATATTAAAGTAATGCCAGAAATGCTTGGAAAATGCTTTTTGGCAATTATTTGATTATGGTTGATATTTCAGATTCAAACTCATATATAATCATTCATACCACCTCGACCTAATATGGCATATGAGTAATCACAATGTACCATTCCCTAATCATAATGATTACTCGTAAAATATCGAAAAACTTGGAAAAAGTTCCATGGTAGAAACACTTCTAAGAAACAAACTATACTGTGACCAACCTGGCAGGCAGACAGGGTGACAGCGTTCATGGAACACAAGGGCAGTGCATGTCAGGGACCGTCTCAAAATATCAAGTGTCAGTATCACTGCTGGTCGAGGACTCTAGCGGAATTACAACAGGTGCAACTCGGCTGACGTTAACGCCGCCCCACAGGCGGCATTCGTCCTCGATTTTGAGAACACGGTCTTCAGCCTTTTGCCACACTTCTGGGGTGGGGTAATTCTCTGAAAGCTTGCATGTGGTATTATTGCGAGCAATAAAATTCTTACAGTTACCCCTGATCAGCTCGATGGGATTGTGCTCACAGTGCCGTATTGGTATACGCAGAACTATGTGGCCTTGTTTTGCAGATAGTTCGTCAGTGATGTACTGGATTGGCTTTTTGTGCTGCCGGATGTTTTCCATGAACTGGGGCTTTGTTTCTTATTGCCTGTAAGGCACGTTACAGGAAGTGAGAAAATCCTGCAACTGAGCCGTGAGATTGCTCATGGTGGGTGTGATGGTACCAGGGACATGCAGGTTATGGTAACTGGCGTTATCCAAAATGATAACGCTTGGTTCGTCCTGCTGCGGTAAAAGCTGATGTTCGAACTAATCCAAAAATACCTGCCCATTCATTTGGCTATGGTAATCACCATCAGATTTCTTGGCCTCAAAAACAAAGTCACAACCCCCAATCAGTCCCTTGCTACGGGTACCAGCATGCAGGATGATCAGGCGTCTACCTTTGCCTGATGGTAACACTGGTGTCTTAGAACAATCTGAAGGAAGTCACAACCGATCGGTTGAGTGATTTTTATTACACCAGGTTTCATCAAGGTATATAATTTGAAACCCCAAATTGTGGTATTCTTCAACTGTTCTGAGATAAGCCAATCACATGGACAGGATTGAGTACTTTTCTCAAAACACAGCTCTGTCATCTCCCCTTTTGGTGTACCTGAACCCCATTTCTACCAGAGCTACAATAAGTGATGTTTTCGAGACATTTATTGTGTCTTTGATCTCATCTTGTATTTTAGCACACGTCGGTGGGATTAGGCATTCATACAGTTTATATACTGCACGGCGTATGACACCCTTATCAAAGCTATCCAGTTTGTGTTTCCTACATGGTTTTCATTTTGACACGACCCCTGAGGTAACTGGTTTGTTTACAACTTGGTAAACCTGATTATATGTCAAATTAAGGGCTTTACACATTCTATAGTAAACCCTGTCATAGCTGACGAGAGATTTCCCCCTTTGTTTCTCCAGTATGAAATACTGGTATAAATTTGAAATTAATTGTTCTGCAAAGATATCAAATCGCATGTTGCCAGTTCAGGACTCATACACCAAGTGAAACTTCTATGGGTGAACAAGATTATCTATGCGATTTGAATTAAGACTTTTAACGTAATTATTTTGAATATAACTACTACAAGAGTTCCATCTTTTTCACACATAGATGTTAAAAAAAACCAAAACTTTTTACAATCATTTATGTAATTTAATTAGTTGAGGCGATATGAATAATTATAGTCTGTATTTCAAAACTACAGTTTGTACTTAGAATATTTACGAATGTTGTTAAAACGTTAAAATTTCCTCCTGTGAAGTCACCCCTCAAGTGCATTTTTTCATCTGAGCTTTAATATCCAACTAGGTCGTACATGTATCATATATGTGCTTTTATCTTGTGTCAAATGCATCATATTGATATTGAAGCCAAAAAGCATTTTCCAAGCATTTACGGCATTACGATTACGGCCATTCATTCTTATGCAGCTAACATGGGGATTTCATTCCTGCCCTGTAGGTGAAACAGTCCATGATTGTTATTGTAATGTCAACGCCTAGATGTGTGGTCTAGGGAACTAGCTCATGTTTAAGATGAAGTGTATGTACAATACGTTGACAAGACGAAGGAATATGTTAAGCTCAAACTTCATTAGTTACATGACAAACTAATACACAAGACATAAATGAGGTGAGCAGAGTAACCGCTCAACCCCATGACATTTCCTGCGAGCGGCATTCTCCTGCTCATGGTCGTCCCTACAGACAGTCGGAATACCTGACTTGTACCCTATGACAATGAATATGTGAGCATATACATACAGTTCTTTACAACAATGGGCAGGCGACGACTCAACTATGGACAGATAGAAAAACAATAGCACTTCCTTGACTAGTTGATGTGATGGCAGACACGGCCAAGGGGGATGACCAATTAAGGTTATAAATGTCAAATACAGTAATGAATTGCCTGACAAGTCAATGTATAATGCGGAAGTGATAAGGATTACATAGAATACAGATTAGCGTCATATAAATAATTACAATAAAGTCTCACATGTCTTGACTACATAGTTTTGAACTTTTTAAATATTTGGATGGTGGCTGTCCTGAATTAGTCCCCATAACAGTAAACTAATTTAAGGTTCTTCAACTTCTTGTAATGTGGCGCAGAAGCATGTACAATGTGAAATTTACAGTAGAAGCCCAACATGTTTGACCAGTTTCTGATCTTAAGTACTGAAAACTATCTGTCCAAGAATACCATCATCTACTTGTCATATTAGTCTCAGGAAATACTGTGCCAACATTATTTCCTGAGACTAATATCACAAGTAGATGATGGTATTCTTGGACAGATAGTTTTCAGTATTTAAGATCAGAAACTGGTCAAACATGTTGGGCTTCTACTGTAAATTTCTTGATTTGTTCAATATGGCTTTGGCAAGCTTTGGTTGCAATAAAGTGTAGGGAATAGTTAAACCTAATTACATTGATGTAGTTCTATTTTGAAATGCCCTTATATGTTTCTGTTGCTCTTGCCATTCTTTTATGCTAGAAAATGGCAGAGAATATCTAATAGTTCCACAGGGTGCCAATTCAAAGACAAAAGAATTCAGAATTGTAGAACCATGATACCAGTGGTACAGAAATCTTGGTAAAAAGTATTGTTTCATGTTATGTATTTATGGATGAAATCTATTTCGCCAAAGGAGTAAATTCAACCTAGTTAACATCTGATGTATTGCAACCAACATTATTAGCTTTGAAGCTACAATGATAAAAATAATTGTGAATTTATAATGAGCCTTTTCCATGTACAACTACAAGGCACATGCTGACACAAAGCGCTAACACACAATCTGATTATTATTACCCCGGAAAAACCCAAGCTGTCTGTGAGGCGCTGGAGTGAGTGAGTGAGTTTAGTTTTATGCTGCTTCTAGCAACATTCCAGCAATATCACGGCAGGGAATACCAGAAATGAGCTTCACACATTGTACCCATGTGGGGAATCCAAACCCGTGTCTTCAGCATGACAAGCGACCACTTTAACCCTAGGCAACCTCACCGTCCATGAGGCACTAGAAGTTTAATAGTCACATGATTATATATATTTGATGAATGTTGCTTCAGGTGAGCTATCCCCCTTACATCTTTGAATGCCTCCTGAAGTCTCCAGTTGATGATGCACAGAGCTCTGCCAATGTTGGAAATGGAACAGTTGTGTTTAAACTCAAGAAGAAAGAACCGGAAATTTGGGGGCAGCTGCAATCAGATGATGCAGGTAAAGTGTTATTACATTTTTTTCTGCTAGGGTTACTCAGGTTTACCCAGAACAATCTTGTTGTTAATAGAATGTCAACTCCACAGCAACTGGAACAAAAGTTACTGTTTAATACCAAACCATGTAAGCTTGTGTTAATATATGATGGTATTCTTGGACAGATAGTTTTCAGTATTTAAGAACAGAAACTGGTCAAACATGTTGGGCTTCTACTGTAAATTTCTTGATTTGTTCAATATGGCTTTGGCGAGCTTTGGTTGCAGTAAAGTGTAGGGAATAGTTAAACCTAATTACATTGATGTAGTTCTATTTTGAAATGCCCTTATATGTTTCTGTTGCTCTTGCCATTCTTCTATTCTATAAAATGGCAGAGAATAGATAATAGTTCCACAGGGTGCCAATTCAAAGACAAAAGAATTCAGAATTGTAGAACCATGATACCAGTGGTACAGAAATCTGGTAAAAAGTATTGTTTCATGTTATGTATTAATGGATGAAATAATTCTATTTCACCAAAGGAGTAAATTCAACCTAGTTAACATCTGTTATTACCCCGAAAACCCAAGCTGTCTGTGAGGCGCTTGGAGTGAGTGAGTGAGTTTAGTTTTATGCTGCTTCTAGCAACATTCCAGCAATATCACGGCAGGGAATACCAGAAATGAGCTTCACACATTGTACCCATGTGGGGAATCCAAACCCGTCTTCAGCATGACAAGCGACCACTTTAACCCTAGGCAACCTCACCGTCCATGAGGCACTAGAAGTTTAATAGTCACATGATTATATATATTTGATGAATGTTGCTTCAGGTGAGCTATCCCCCTTACATCTTTGAATGCCTCCTGAAGTCTCCAGTTGATGATGCACAGAGCTCTGCCAATGTTGGAAATGGAACAGTTGTGTTTAAACTCAAGAAGAAAGAACCGGAAATTTGGGGGCAGCTGCAATCAGATGATGCAGGTAAAGTGTTATTACATTTTTTTCTGCTAGGGTTACTCAGGTTTACCCAGAACAATCTTGTTGTTTTCCCTTTGCTTCCGGAATGGAGCAATAATAGAATGTCAACTCCACAGCAACTGGAACAAAGGTTACTGTTTAATACCAAACCATGTAAGCTTGTGTTAATATATGATGGTATTCTTGGACAGATTAGTTTTCAGTATTTAAGAACAGAAACTGGTCAAACATGTTGGGCTTCTACTGTAAATTTCTTGATTTGTTCAATATGGCTTTGGCGAGCTTTGGTTGCAGTAAAGTGTAGGGAATAGTTAAACCTAATTACATTGATGTAGTTCTATTTTGAAATGCCCTTATATGTTTCTGTTGCTCTTGCCATTCTTCTATTCTATAAAATGGCAGAGAATAGATAATAGTTCCACAGGGTGCCAATTCAAAGACAAAAGAATTCAGAATTGTAGAACCATGATACCAGTGGTACAGAAATCTGGTAAAAAGTATTGTTTCATGTTATGTATTAATGGATGAAATAATTCTATTTCACCAAAGGAGTAAATTCAACCTAGTTAACATCTGTAAACCTGTGTTGTGTTACAGGAAACAAGGAGGTGATGTAAACCTGTGTTGTGTTACAGGAAACAAGGAGGTGATGTAAACCTGTGTTGTGTTACAGGAAACAAGGAGGTGATGTAAACCCAGTATGTGGTACAGGAAACAAGGAGGTGATGTAAACCTGTGTTGTGTTACAGGAAACAAGGAGGTGATGTAAACCTGTGTTGTGTTACAGGAAACAAGGAGGTGATGTAAACCTGTGTTGTGTTACAGGAAACAAGGAGGTGATGTAAACCTGTTTTGTGTTACAGGAAACAAGGAGGTGATGTAAACCTGTGTTGTGTTACAGGAAACAAGGAGTGTGGAAACAAGGAGGTGATGTAAACCTGTGTTGTGTTACAGGAAACAAGGAGGTGATGGAGGTGATGTAAACCTGTGTTGTGTTACAGGAAACAAGGAGGTGATGTAAACCTGTGTTGTGTTACAGGAAACAAGGAGGTGATGTAAACTTGTGTTGTGTTACAGGAAACAAGGAGGTGATGAGGAAGAAGCGAGAGGAATCTCAGGCACAAGAACACAGCAGACAACAGGAAGCGGGAAAGGCTAAGGCTGAAAAGAAGAGAGAGGATGACAGATATGCCATCAATCAGATGATGAAGGTAGTGTATGACCTATGTAGATCTGTATCAAGTACTTACACATAGAGCTTGCTGGTGAACCACCCTCACAGACAGCATCCTTCTGGATCGGAGTTATGTTAGGGGCCATTCATAATTCATGGCAAGGGGGGTGATGATGATTTTTTATGCAGAAGCATGTACAATGTGAATGACCCCACCTAAAATTTATATACAAAGTAAGTGCCCCCCCCCTGCACATCATGTACAAAATCAAATCAATGACCCCCATTCCCCTTTTTATGTAAGAAATTGATGACCCCCTTGTACATGTGTACAAAATTGAGGACCCCCCTACCTCCCCAGAACAAAATGGGCGCCCCCCCTTAAAATCATCATCAACCCCCCTAGCCATAAATTATGAACGGTCCCTTCTATACTGTTTTTTTTCATCGTGGAACTATCTCTCCTGTATTTTGGATGGCGTAAAGTGGAATTTGGAATGTGAAAACTATTTCAAAGTCTTGTTTCTTGATGTTTTCAGGTTCTTTGCAATTCAAATCATTGTTCGTGGTTGTCATTAAATGGCAATTTGTTTATGTGGACCTGTACTAACGGCTATGATAACCCGTAGAATGTATTTACCAGTTTTAGCTGTTAGTATGTTTGTTAACATATATGTATGTGTATTTGACAGCTTGAAGACAGCGAGAAACAGAGAATTGAGAACATCAAACAGTCAGAGCGCAAAGCTGCTACTGATGCTCTTGAGAGATGGAAAGATGAACAGAAGGCACAGGCAGAAGCTGTAAGTACATATATTGATTAGAGGTTAATTTGTATAACTTATCCTATCTCAAATTATTCCCTTTCTCTTGTTTCCTCTTGATCACTGGATTGTCTGGTCCAAATGTCATTATTTACTAATATTTAGAGACTGGTCTCTAGATTGAATAGGTCCAGCTTGAAATAGTGTGTGAAGCATCTGCAATTTGCCAATGGAATGTTGTTCCTGATGTGTCATCGTGAAACACTGTATTCATGATGGCTTTTACATGTAGTTGTGCAGTTTTCTACACTTCCCATGTGAAACTGGTACATGGGGGTTCATATTGTGAGTTGATGTTTGACTTTTCTATTTTCAAGCATAAGCAACATCTTCTTGAACAACAAAGGGAAGAAAATGAAAGAAAGAAAATCGAAGAAAGGAAGAAAGGTATTTTGCATAGTTTGTCTTTAAATCTGTGTACCACTTAATTTTGTCTTCTGATATGATTTTCTGTTGGTATGTATATGTGTATATGTATATGTGTAACATATCTAATAACAGAAAGATTCTGACACGGTCAAGGTATTGTAATACTGTCAAGATTATGGATGATGGTTGTTCTGAGCACTGGCATCTGTTTTCTGAGTCTTCTCGGGGGCTTTGCTAATATGTCAGTGGTTGCAGGTAAAAAAACAAGCATATTTGAGACTGGGAAGGGTGCACCAACTCGTCAGTCAGGCAGGATAGAAGTGAGCCACACCCCCAGAGTGTTCCCTACCCCAGTGCGGGAATCCCAGGCCCCAATGGAGGAAGAGGTAGGCAGCCTATTGCATCAATGATTAACATCATATAGATTTCCTTGTTGAGTCTTGGAGGGCTTCTGCTTTCAAAGTTAGATACCTCTTTGGAAATGCTTGATTACCACTAACTTGAAAGAAGTATTTAAGCACAAGATTTATAGAAAAAAACCCAACATGTTTGTGAAACATTTTCTTCATGCTTATTTTTGATTTGTCCATTGACCAACTGGCGTTTAGAATAATCTGTAAATCAAGTATATTCCTTGCAAAGATCCAAATATGCACCTAAATCTAATTTAACCTCTACCAATGTCCCCAGTAGCCCATGAAGTTCAGAGCCATATGGAGAAAACTGTTGATGTCTGTTTGATGCAGTTTGTGTTGGGCCTACAGGATTACCTTACAACTTCGGGCTGTGGTGACAGTGTGTCGTCAGTTATTTATAACGACAGAATAAATGATAAATTTGTTGAAAGATCATCATTTGATATAAACATTTCATTCTTTGGACAATGATGACCCTTTACGCTTCATCTGTTACCCCCTTTGCATAGTCACCCGTGGCTGTGCAAGTCTGGTACAAACTCTGGAATACAGTAGGGTAAACATAGTAGAATGGAACATTGTTTGTTTTATTCTGTCATATTTGTTACTGTTGTACAGTGTAACATTATGAAGTTTATACTGTAAAATTGTGAGTCTTTATTTTATTTTGATGTGAGATATTTCATCATGCAGGCAAGTAGTAATTTAGAATAGATACACTTGATATGTTTATGTATCAGGTTCAGAAACAGAAGAAGAAACATAGGTTGGACTGAGGTTGAAATTCTGAGCAGTTTTCACAGTGTAACTTTTGTTGAAGCTATTATGTTACAGGGGAGATAACTCAGTATTGTCAAGTGTTTCTACACAAACATGTAACTACATAGCATGAGTGAGTGAATATGGTTTTACGCCGTTTTTAGCAATATTCCAGCAACATTACGGCGGGGGACACCAGAAATGGGCTTCACACATTGTACCCATGTGGTTAATCGATCCTGGGCCTTCGGCGTGACGAGCGAACGCTTTAACCACTAGGCTACCCCACCGCCACAACTACATAGGGGTCGGTGTATGCATTTCAGTGGTTGAGTTGAAAGTACAAGAGTAAGTTGGTGTTAGCTTCAATGACTGACAAATAGCTTCAGTAGTTGGAGTTTATTTCAGTGACTGAGAAATACAAGAGGATTTTGGTGTATATTTCAGTGGTTGAGAAAGCAGGCAGAGGCACGGAAGACTGTGGAGTTGGCTGACGCAGACCTTTCAGAGGAGGAGAAGAACCCACTGTGGCTCCGGGACAAGGGGAAGTAAGTGGTGGAGTGTGTTCTAATATCACATTGTGTAGTAACATGTAGCCTGTTGCCCATATCCTGTGGAATACTCACCAACTAATGTATATTGCCTTGTTTTCAGTGAATTCTTCAAGGCTGGTGACTACCAAGCAGCTGTGAATGCCTACACACATGCAATCCGGCTCCGCAACCAGATGCCAGGGTATCCTTGTCAGCTGATAGAAATCAGCAGCTTGTCACTTTCACATGTGCCAGTAACTGACATTTAATAGCTGGTGGCCACTCCGTAATCACAGATGTGACAGTTTTTATGAAGGACTGGTCATTTATTATCCTCATCTTATGGGTTTTTGGATACCTAAGGATATTTGTCGTTGTCTTTCATCCTTTATCCTAAACACATGCCATCATTCAAGAACTTACAAAGTCTCTCTTATTCAACATCCTTCAGTACAGCCCAAGTGAGCACTTATGATGTCCTAAAACCTATGATCCGATGATAGAGGGGAGGGGGTCAAGACAAAATGACACGACATAAGAAGTGGTGTCAGCAAACTCTATCACAACTGTATGGGGATTGTTGATGTGATGAAAAAATGTCTTATTTTATCATATGGTTTTATTTATACATTCGGGAGGTGTGTCATGAAATATTACATTATCGTATTTGTAGTTGGGCATGATAAAATGTTGCAAAACTGGGAAGGGGTCAGCAAAATATGATACAGTGTGAAGATCATCACATTCACCAATACCCCCAATGATATGTGATCAAACCCCCATCAGGATGGTACCGCTAAGTCTTCAGTAATTAAAGACATTGTGCTGCATGATGTTGATGTAAAGACAAGGACACTGTTATTTTTACCCTGTTACTTCCTGCTGGTAACACGTCAAGTTTGTATCACTGCAGCTACAGCAAACACATTGTATTGTTTAGATTCTGTTTTCCTTAACCTGTGACAAGATTGTACTCCAACAGAGCAGCCTGTCACCTGAAGCTTCGTAACCTCATTAAGTGCATAGAAGACTGTTCAAAGGTAGGTTTCACGTGTTTGCGTGTGACAATACATTTCTGTCTATCATCATTACTATAATTGTTTTGACAAACATTTGCTATGAACAATGTTAGCTCATTCTGATATTCACATTTTTATTCCTACTTGTCTGTGAGTGAATGTTTATTGACTAACACAGCATCTCCTCTTCATCCTCGTCCTACATCAGGCTTAATGGATCAGACCATTGCCTGTCATCCAAATCAAACTTCATAATAGTACATAGGACAAGTAGAAGTTTTGTTCCTGTAAGGGACCGTTCATATTTAATGGCAGGTGATGCGTGCTTTGTGTGTGGGGGTGATGATGATGATTTTTATGGAGAAGTATGTACAATGTGAAAGACCCCCCCCTAAAATTTATGTACAAAGCAAGTGACGCCCCTGCATGTCATGTACAAAATCATTGACACCTCCCTAGTACATGTGTACAAAACTGATTTGATGACCCCCCTACCTCCCCAGAACTTAATGGGTGCACCGCCCTTTATAATCATAATCCACCACTCCCACCCCTTAGCCATAAATTATGAACGGTCCCCAAACACCATGAAAAAGTGACTGAAATGTTGGTAAATGAGTTAACCAATTTAATCACTCTACCCTGATTATCACAACTATTTATTCCCGTGCTGTGTGCTACAGGCAATGGACCTGCTCCATCCTCCAGTACCCCAGAATGCTGCTAGTCGATGCAAGGCCCTCGTGAGGCGGGGAACAGCATTCTGTCAGCTTGAGATGTATATTGAAGGTCAGCTACAAGTTGATGTTTGATGTCTATTTCATTGAATGTGGATTTCATAACCCTGACTAGTAAAGCAGAATTGTCTTGGTACCTTTAGCAATGGTCACCACATTCTACCAGTTATATGAATAAGATACCTCCTTCCCTAATCTTACTGTAACAGCTGAATAAGTTCATTGTATGCTTCATGGTGTATCACGATATTTGCAGGAAGTCATTCAAATGTACTGATGTTTATATTTGTTCACCCTTCATGCTCACTGACAGACACTTATTTCAATATTGATTTGTGCTGACAGTTTGATGTAATGTTACTCGTGTTTTCTAGTGGCTGCAATGATACAAAAACATAACTGGTGACTGATCTTCCTCCCTGTCTTTCCTTTAAGTATATGTTCAGATATGGAAAAGTTGATAGTTAAAAGCCATTCAAGTACGGCAATTCTGAGATGACATGTCGGTTCTGCAAGTCCAAACCAACACTTTGTTTCTGGTATTGTTCTATGTAACTTTTGTGCTGAAAGTTTGTTAAATGACCATTCAAACACGGGTGAAAATGAAGTGTGCACCCGTCCTGTTCTCAACAGTGTGCACCCCACCTTTCTCAAAAAGCTGCATCCACCCCTGTGTTAAAATGAAGTGATGTGCAGCCAGCATCTCTGTGCATGACAATGTGATGATGTTCTGTTCCAGGTCTCCAAGACTACGGAGCTGCTCTGAAGCTGGACCGAGACAACAAAGGGCTACAGGCTGATGCTGAGAAGATCCGTGAGATTATACAAGGCACTGTTGATAGATGAACAGACGCAGACACATGGAGAGATTGGATGGAGAATGAGATGAAGACTGAGAGCATGGATGAAGAGTTGGGTGTGGATGAATATTTTGAGAGATTGGATGTCTTTTTACATTACACTGCCATGTATGTACAGTCTGTGTTGCCATGTCTACACACACCTCATGTGTATCTAAACATGACCAGTAGTTAAATGTGGCCATGGGTGGACCAGCTAGTCACTTCCTGCTGTGCTGGATGATCCTCCATGGTGGCTACATCATCACTTTCAGCACATGGCCTGTGTTTGTAGATTCCACCACAGTGGCCCACATCTGGCATCTCCAGCACCTGTAAACACTGCCTGGTTGGTTACTTAGGCATATTAGCATGCTAAACTTACTTTGGAACTGAACATGCACTCAAAACTAATATTTTTCTCAAATTTGTGTTGTCTGTCTTTGGCTCAAACAACATTCACTGTATAAAATACATAAAATCTGTCATAGTAGGAGAAATAAATGATATAATGTATAATCAACTGAAAATACTTTTGTTTGTCTTTGTTGTTCTATGTAGTTAAAACCTGTGTTATTGTTATTGTTGTTTCACTTAGTTAAATATGTTGTCGTTATTATGCAAAGAGCATCGTCCGTCTGTGCTTTTCTAGGGTAAGGTTGGTGCAATCCACTGTACGCACCATACTTGAGCTCAAATGTTTCACCGAAGTATGATACAGATTCATGACCAGCATCATTTTGGGTTTTCCTCCATGTTAAGAGATGTCATGGTATATACCTGAACTACTGTCTGAAGCTGCATATCGTCACTCACCTACCCAGCTGATCTGTCTGTCCCAAGTGTATGCTATGTCCACCTACCCAGTTGATCTGTCTGTCCCAAGTGTATGCTATGTCCACCTACCCAGTTGATCTCTCTGTCCCAAGTGTATGCTATGTCCACCTACCCATATGATCTGTCTGTCACAAGTGTATGCAATATCCACCTACCCAGTTGATCTGTCTGTCCCAAGTGTATGTTATGTCCACCTACCCAGTTGATCTGTCTGTCCCAAGTGTATGCTATGTCCACCTACCCAGTTGATCTCTCTTTCCCAAGAGTATGCTATGTCCACCTACCCATATGATCTGTCTGTCACAAGTGTATGCTATGTCCACTTACCCAGTTGATCTGTCTGTCCCAAGTGTATGCTATGTCCACTTACCCAGTTGATCTGTCTGTCCCAAGTGTAAGCTATGTCCACCTATCCAGTTGATCTGTCTGTCCCAAGTGTATGCTATGTCCACCTACCCAGTTATCAGTCTGTCCGCAGTGTATGCTATGTCCACCCACCCAGTTGATCTGTCTGTCCCAAGTGTATGCTATGTCCACTTACCCAGTTGATCTGTCTGTCCGCAGTGTATGCTATGTCCACCTATCAAGTTGGTCTGTCTGTCCCAAGTGTATGCTATGTCCACCTATCCAGTTGATCTGTCTGTCCCAAGTGTATGCTATGTCCACCTACCCAGTTGATCTGTCTGTCCCAAGTGTATGCTATGTCCACTTACCCAGTTGATCTGTCTGTCCCAAGTGTATGCTATGTCCACCTATCCAGTTGATCTGTCTGTCCCAAGTGTATGCTATGTCCACCTACCCAGTTGATCTGTCTGTCTCAAGTGTATGCTATGTCCACCTACCCAGCTGATCTGTCTGTCCCAAGTGTATGCTATGTCCACCTATCCAGTTGATCTGTCTGTCCCAAGTGTATGCTATGTCCACCTACCCAGTTGATCTGTCTGTCCGGAGTGTATGCTATGTCCACTTACCCAGTTGATCTGTCTGTCCGGAGTGTATGCTATGTCCACTTACCCATATGATCTGTCTGTCCCAAGTGTATGCTATGTCCACCTACCCAGTTGATCTGTCTGTCCCAAGTGTATGCTATGTCCACCTACCAGTTGATCTGTCTGTCCCAAGTGTATGCTATGTCCACTTACCCAGTTGATCTGTCTGTCCCAAGTGTAAGCTATGTCCACCTATCCAGTTGATCTGTCTGTCCCAAGTGTATGCTATGTCCACCTACCCAGTTGATCTGTCTGTCCCAAGTGTATGCTATGTCCACTTACTAAGTTGATCTGTCTGTCCCAAGTGTATGCTATGTCCACTTTCCCAGTTGATTTGTCTGTCCCAAGTGTATGCTATGTCCACCTATCCAGTTGATCTGTCTGTCCCAAGTGTATGCTATGTCCACCTACCCAGTTGATCTGTCTGTCCCAAGTGTATGCTATGTCCACCTATCCAGTTGATCTGTCTGTCAAGTTGTCCACCTATCCAGTTGATCTGTCCCAAGTGTATGCTATGTCCACTTACCCAGTTGATCTGTCTGTCCCAAGTGTATGCTGCTATGTCCACTTACCCAGTTGATCTGTCTGTCCCAAGTGTATGTGTATGCTGTCTGTCCCAAGTGTCTATGTGTCCACTTACCCAGTTGATCTGTCTGTCCCAAGTGTATGCTATGTCCACCTACCCAGTTGATCTGTCTGTCCCAAGTGTATGTATGCTATGTCCACTATATCCAGTTGATCTGTCTGTCCCAAGTGTATGCTATGTCCACCTACCCAGTTGATCTGTCTGTCCCAAAGTGTATGCTATGTCCACCTACCCAGTTGATCTGTCTGTCCCAAGTGTATGCTATGTCCACTTACCCAGTTGATCTGTCCACCTACCCAGTTCTGTCTGTCAAGTGTATGCTATGTCCACCTATCCAGTTGATCTGTCTGTCCCAAGTGTATATGCTATGTCCAGTGTATGCTATGTCCACCTACCCAGTTGATCTGTCTGTCCCAAGTGTATGCTATGTCCACTTACCCAGTTGATCTGTCTGTCCCAAGTGTATGCTATGTCCACTTACCCAGTTGATCTGTCTGTCCCAAGTGTATGCTATGTCCACTTTGATCTGTCTGTCCCAGTTGTCCACCTACTTGATCTGTCTGTCCCAAGTGTATGCTATGTCCACTTACCCAGTTGATCTGTCTGTCCCAAGTGTATGCTATGTCCACTTACCCAGTTGATCTGTCTGTCCCAAGTGTATGCTATGTCCACCTATCCAGTTGATCTGTCTGTCCCAAGTGTATGCTGTGTCCACCTACCCAGTTGATCTGTCTGTCCCAAGTGTATGCTATGTCCACTTACCAAGTTGATCTGTCTGTCCCAAGTGTATGCTATGTCCACTTTCCCAGTTGATTTGTCTGTCCCAAGTGTATGCTATGTCCACCTATCCAGTTGATCTGTCTGTCCCAAGTGTATGCTATGTCCACCTACCCAGTTGATCTGTCTGTCCCAAGTATATGCTATGTCCACTTACCCAGTTGATATGTCTGTCCCAATCGTATGCTATGTCCACCTTTCCAGTTGATCTGTCTGTCCCAAGTGTATTCTATGTCCACCTACCAGTTGATCTGTCTGTCCCAAGTGTATGCTATGTCCACCTACCCAGTTGATCTGTCTGTCCCAAGTGTATGCTATGTCCACTTACCCAGTTGATCTGTCTGTCCCAAGTGTATGCTATTTCCACCTACCAGTTTATCAGTCTGTCCCAAGTGTAAGCTATGTCCACTTACCCAGTTGATCTGTCTGTCCCAAGTGTATGCTATGTCCACCTACCCAGTTGATCTGTCTGTCCCAAGTGTATGCTATGTCCACTTACTCAGTTGATCTGTCTGTCCCAAGTGTATGCTAGTCCCAAGTGTATGCTATGTCCACCTACCCAGTTGATCTGTCTGTCCCAAGTGAATGATGTGTCCCAAGAGCAACTATATGTGGTGAGGTGGGTTGTTCTTGGAAATTGGAAATGTGGCGTTCACATTTCCACTGTATCAGTACAACAGGACGTGGATTGTTATGTCAGAAGAACTTGCTGTGAAATGACGGTACACACATACCCCCCACCTAGCCTCCCACTACATCCGGGTCTTTGACACACTCCTCGTCGTCCCGTTGGCGTTAAATGGCAGAGTGTGGAATTATCGATCTGCAAATGATTGCTATCACGCACTTCACACATAGTTCCAGTGAGGTATAGCAAAAACAGATTAGAATGGAACGTTAGATTTTCTTGTGAACAATTAATTAGTGACCATGAATAGTGTAGTGAACTCCAGTTGTTTCACATTTTGACTATGGTTCGGCCAGATGACAAAGCATGGGGGCGTGGGGTGACACGTGGGGTGAATCACAACCTTGAGGAAATGTCTTCACGGATATGTATTTCAGAATTCAGGGTCACATGCAACGTAAAACACAACTTTGCAGATTCTGATACCTTTCGGTATGGACTTACAGTAACAAATTATCAAAAATGCAAATTCAACTTTAAAAGTTGAAAAATAACGCGATGAAAAAAACCCGCGAAATCGGAGTTCAAACGATTCACTAAATTCACCCCAGCTGGGGTGAAAAGTGGTTTCAACAGCTGTGCTGCGCTGCGCTGCACTGCTCATGGCGCATGCGCAGTGAATAGGTTCGCGCAGCTTGAAGCGGGATTCCCGGATTATAAGGTCGTGAGCAGGAGTAGTCTAATCTTGGTTGTGTACACAAACAACAAATAGTAAATAATCTACTCGTTACATAAAAGAACCTTGTTAAGGATCTAGATCTACTCAGCTATGTGTCAACCAGTGAAGCGTTCGACATTTCAAGACGGAAAACCTTCGCTGGCGGTGAGTACTCGGAGTAGGCTTTGATGTGAGCTATTTTTCTAATGTTTTGACTTTGTTGATATTTCACAGGCGCGAGCTTTTTATATGTTATGACAGTAGATTACCGATTTAACTGTTTATATAATTTCATTTGACTATTTCACCACACGTTCTTCTTACCGAGTCACTTTCTCAGTTCGATACTTAAAAGCAACGTCATTATTTAGCATTGTCAGAATTTCTAACTGTGATATAGATATGCCTCTGTCACAGACAAAACTCAATGTCTGTTTTATTGACACCTATGTGTCTGCCTGCCTGTCTGCTAATGACAATATGCAATACACAACTTCGATCACTGACCACATGCAATTTGAACTTAACACCTATCAGGCTATACACCATAAACAAAACGCATTGATTTATGGCTCGTGCACCTGAGTTCTGTCTCTGTCACATTATGTAATTACACAGACAGGCAGGTGTGATACTTGTACACATGACATGTTATGATGTCTGTTGATTGCAAAATGTTATACACAAAAAATGAGCATGTATTTACAAAACCCAACATCTCTATACACACACAAAAGAGCCCTGAGCGTATCGGCAAATGAACCAGCCAATGAAAGTTTCGTTACACTTAAGTGCACGCCCACCCGCTCTGACTGGGTTCGGTATCCCGGGTGCTTCGTTTCGAGGGAAGTAAACCCAAGTACAAAATATTGCACTTTTGATTTGCGATTGTAC